AACCCCAAAAACCTTGAATTGGAATTAAGATCCCGGCGCGAAAGGGATTACCAACCCCCCGAAAAAAAAAATATATATAGATATATTTATAGATGCTCGGAGTGCTTTAACTTTAAACTGATACCGTTATCTCGGCTGTGTGTATATGTGCTCGGTTTCGAAGAAAGGAAATTAGATCGTAAATCTCGACGTATTACGACGACAAAACGCGTCTTTCCGCTGTAAAAAAGGCGATTTTTCCACGGCGGATATTTGCTTTTCGAGATATTAATAATAAGAGAGGCTTTCTGTCGGGCAACAGACGAAATTTCGAAACTATAAACGCTAAAATATCGTGCTTATTACGCAATTTATTTATGCTATTAAACTTATCGTTTTTTTTTATTAAATTATTATCGCTATTGTTGTATAAAATATCTCTAGTTTACTGGTTAATTAAAGTTTAGAAAAATCGATTTTCTTTCAAATATAAAACACAAAATACAAATTCATCCAATTAAATTATGCAAACTTCCCTATATCACTCGAGATTTATGCGTTTTCGTCGCGTCGTCCTGTTTAACAAATTCACAGATGCTAATCGGGTATAATAGTCGCATGTTCGGCCCTGCAATCGATATTGTCCCCGTCAAAACGGCCCGAAGAAGCGCCCTTTATGCCTTTATTTGCGTTTCGAATTTCGAATGGTAAAAATTCCGGACGTTAAGCCGTTAATTTCTCTGTTTGCTCCGCATCGCCGAGCCTTTCTGGGCAAGTCAAAGTCAAACACGCCGATCGGGGAGATGTCGAGAGTACACACAGACCGGTTATTTTTCTCTTTTTCCTCCTGAAAAACGAATATTGCACCGGCAAATATTGACGCGGGCATTACGCCGGGGATACTTCAACCTAATCACCATCGCTTCATTATGGAAAAATCGAAATATTGGGTCACAATATTGTATTCCGAAAATCAATTTTCCCTCGATGTTTTCGGTTATATCTCGGAGGCAATCTGGAGCATCTGCGGGTCCTTCGAGACGTTCTCCGGGGGCGGCAGGAAACGGCAAAAAGCGTAGGCAGCCAAAAACGAATTAGTTCGTCGTGGCGTCCTCGACGTCTCGACGCCCCGGCTCGGAAAAAAATGAAAACCCGCAACATCTGCAACCTCCGCGCGTGCCGGAAAATTTATTTATTATTTCCCATTTTCCCTTATTCGCTTCTGTTTCTCCGTTTCCCGTCACCGCCGGTTGTTCCCTTTACTGTTGACGTGCGGAATAATAATACTGTTTGTTGAAATTACCTAGTACTTCAAGGGGTAAAACCATATCCCTTTAAATGAGACTAGGTTCAAGAAGGTCCCTTTGGGAAACTATTTTTTTTTTCTACAAGGAGCTTTTTCTACAGATTTTCCATTGTTCGCCATTTCCTCAACTATTCCTCACCAGAAATGGAACCAATAGGATTTTATTTCTTCGAGAAATTACCTCCTGCATATTACATTTGGCTAAAAGCTTATATTTTCTCGGAATAATAATACTGTTTGTTGAAATTACTCAGTCAATCTGTACTTCAAGGGGAAGAACCATCCCTTTAAATGAGACCAGGTTATTAAAGAACTTCCCTTTGGGAAACTATTTTTTTCTATAAAGAGTGTCAGGAGATGTTGGAAAATGACAGATTTTCCATTGCTCAACTATTCCTCACCAGAACTGGAACCAATATGAATTTCTTTCTTCGATAAATTACACCTTCTGCATATTAATTTCGACTAAAAGCTCACATTTTCTTCGTTATAATTTACATCAGCAATCTCGCCGAGTTTTCGACTTGGCTATACATTTTTCTTTTCGCTCCTCGCTAGACCTCGCGAACCGTTACTTAAAAATTCATCGGTCGTTCCCTTTCTAAAACTTCTCTCTAAAAATAATAATGTATCCTCGAGTTACGATTACCGGGGCGCTCTCCCCATTCCACGCTCGGGCGCTCTTTATTGCCTTCGGTGTTAAACAGCACTTCCCGGTGGAGGACCGGGCGAGAGCGGGGGACGCGGGGGACGCGGGGAACGTCAGCCCCCCCGTAGAGAGAGAGCCCATAAACAAAAACCCCCCTTTCGCGGAACGCCGCTGTTGTTTATGGCCCTCTGCCACGTTGCCGATTCCTCTATAATGCAATGCAAACAGTTTGAACAAGAGAGATGTTTTTAAACGAATCGAAATGTTTATAATAAGATAACTATAACAAAAACCCTCTGAAGCGATGTTGGTTGATTCGCTTAATTGATCATATTGTAAACAAAATATAGGAATAATTAATACGCTTGGCAACAAAGCTTTATGTAGTGGATAGTGGATAGTGGATTGTCCCTTTGGGGGTTGAACCCGTCTGGCCGGCGCCGCCTCTGCGTTTTTACGATCTCTCCGGGGCGCAGACGGGACGACGCTCGGCGCTCGGGAAAGCGGGAACGTCGAGCGTCGCGACGCCGGGGCCTCTGGCCTGCGTGCGTCTACGTCGAAGGCCATAAAATTTTACGAGCGAAAGCATCGACCCGTCGCCGTGGCAACGCGCAACGGACGCCCGTCGATTCGACCGGATTCATCCTCGAAAATTCCGCCTGCGCTAGCGGGAATCCCTTGTGAGCCGGTGAATTGAAGAAGACGATTCTTGTGAGAAAAGTAACGAAAAATCACGTAGACTTTCTGATGTAGCAGGAGTGGAAATAATGAGATTTGATGGTGGGTTTTCTTTTTTCGTGGAGCGGCTTGTGGGGGAATTGTCGCGCGTCCGCGTACACTCGCAGCAAAAATTCGTGCGGAAGCACGTGCTCGCAGGATACAATAAGCGCCCGGCAGGAGTGTACAAGTCGGGCGATTGACATGTTCTGAATTTTGATAACACTCCGGGCCGGTTGTCGGAGCAGAGAAGAAGAAGAAGAAGAGTCGCTTTTCGCTTCGGACGAAGATAATAACTCGGGAGTTCCCGGGGAAAATTTAATAGATATATTTACGCCTGTCGGGGTTTTATTGGTTTTTTAGTTTTACGGCTCGGACGTGCGAATTTACGGGAGACAATCGGCGAAAAAAGTTCGACCGGAACGACACCGGTTTTGCCGCTAATCTTCCGGCTCGCCGGTTCTAAATTAGAATTTAACCGAATGGCTTGTATACCTGGAATACCCGGAACGTATTAAGAATCCCATATAACTTCTCTAAAAGAACCTTTTTAATGTCTATAATGCTCGTTTTTGTTAGAGGAGCTGTATTAGAAAACTTTTTCATTCACAAAAACAGAGATTACCTACCTAGTTTTGCTATTTAAGAAATGTATACCTAAATAAATACAGGGCGATTTTCGTACATAATCTTCTCTAAAAGCGTATACATTTTCTTTGTTATTATTATACATATTTGTAATTATGTATAGCGCAAACGATTCTAAAAAAAAGCCAATTTAATTATGAATTTATTTAAAATACTCGGCCGGTTCTGCACCGATGGCGGTTTATTTATTAGTTAAACAAAGCCCGTTTGTACGTATACGCACTTTGATATACCCGACCCGATGCGAATTCCTTCATAAAACGGATGGAGTTCATTTGCGAAACAGGTTTTTGCATTTTTATCGAACGAGAGACTAAATTATTGCGATACATCGCCGATGGAGATTTTCTCTTTTTTTTTGTAATCCCCATCCGCACGCACGCGAATATTCTCCCTACATTTAACACACAACACCGATATTTCGATTGCAACCGATTTCTATTAATCGATTTACTAGTCTATATTTATAAAAAAATTAAGCATTTACATTGAACTAAAAGGTAGAAGGAAAAGATAAGAGTTAAACAAAGTTTTAAAATCCTCGAAATTAACAAAACCTCTCTTCCTTCTCTTCTTTTTATGCATATATCTTCATTTTTTGAAGCAAAAGATTATGCTTCTTTTTACAAACACGGCCTATTGATTCGAGATTTTCTACATTCTCCCTTCATTCAACACCTGCATATTTAGATTACGCATTAGATCGATCAATCGATCAATCGATTGACTAATTAATTTGCTCCTTTTCGGGCGAGCGTTTGCAACTGTACGAGATTTTTTCCACTTTCGTTCTACGAACTGAAATAAGAAATGGATATGGATTCGCCGAATGGCGAACGGCCAATTAGCGACTCTATAAAGTAGCGTTCGTTAAAATAACGTTATTCCCTCGGCGAAATTCGTTCGAAATCCAACGTTATTTCCTATATAGCGAACGGGATCGATTCGGGGAGCGTGTCAACGGGTCGTTTCGGGTACGGGCCCGTTAAATTTAACGTTCCGAATAACGTAGGGACTTTTCGGCGCGATAATTCTATCTCGAATGGTTATTCATGTTATTCATGCAACATGAATAACGGCTAACGAGGAAAGAATCGCATTGGTGGCCTAATTAGATACACTTTCGTGGCGATTTTTTATTTTTTCCTTCTAAGAGCAAGTTTTTATATATCAATTTTCGAGTACTCGAGAGTTTTCCGCATCGACTTTGCTCGCGTAAGGGCGGAGGTAATCATTTTTCTTATCGCGTTACGCCATCAGGTATATCCCTTTGAATTCAGAAAGTTGCTCCAGTTTCGAATTCCTTTTGAGTTTGAGAAGTTCTTTAAAGTAGAATGGAGTTCTCGCTTACGTTCGTACGGCGGGGGAATACGAATACAAAAAAACTCCCTAGCATCTCCCGCGGGGCGGTTATTTTCCCGCTACGTTGCATTACAAAAATGTAGCAGTAATCGGTATGAAATTATATAAGGAGCTGGTGCTTTTTTGATTAACCCGTGCGTTTCTAAAAATTGTAATTCCCTTCGAACTTCGAATTCTACGGGTCGTCGTTTCCCTTTGACATTCCCTCGGCGTCTTCGCAGTAAAGTAGCTACAGAGGCAATCCGGAAAAGTCGAGCTAAAATTCCAAATTACTACCTATATAGGTATCGACTTTCCACGTGGAATTCCAATGAATTATATACGAATTTTCTTTTCCAGGGATCGACGATGTCTCCGTGCAACTGCAAGAACCCGAATCGCCGTCGGCCGTCCGTCGCGGCGCCACCGTCATCTTGAGGTGTCACGCGGACGCCTCGGGAGAGGTCCATTACGAGTGGTATCGGTAAGTGTTTCGAATTCCATTTATCCAATTCCGGGGTCTTTCATCGAGTGCGGTTTCCCCCTATTTGGCTCTCCCCCCAATGTATACACCATATTCGCGATTCGCACCGCAGAGGGACCTGCTACACGCTGTTAAAACGTATACTAATTTAGTTTTGCTTTGGGACGTGTCCGGACGTGCCTCTCGATGGGTTTACAAAGGAGTGTATGCGGTGGAAAATACTAATTTATACGCCGAAATAGGATGTTATTTAATGCAATAATGCAGGTGTTGTTTGATCGATTGGTTTAGGCCCAACGCTCACGGAGCAACAGTTTTGAAACGGAGGTTATAATCTAGTTTAGTCTGTAACCAGTTTACAACTAATATTAAACTTCTGCGCGCACGCGGATGCGACTATTATAAAATAGTTTCAATCAGTTGTTATAGTAATTTATCGAATGTCGAATGAATCATTCCAGAAATTGGCATGAATTTAAAGCAACTTGAAACTGCAAAGCGGGAAATGGTCGTGTACAACTGGTTTATGACTCATTGCAAACTAGTTTCATTTGAATCGACTCGTGTACGGTTCCACACTACTGTACATTGCCGAGGTTGCAAAATAGTTGCAAGATCAACTGGTTTACAATTTTTATTTCAAAACAGTTGCTCCGTGAGCGGTCGGCCTTAGACTAGATTCAAAGGAAATACTCCCAAAAACTCCCAATCTGTTGATAAAAGCAGCACCGTGGAAAAATAAAATTAATCGCTACTACTCCAAACATTTCTCCATTTTAAACGAATTCCTTTAACAAACAAAGGCTGCGGATGACGCCTCCTAAATAAAATCTCGCACTCCCCGTTGACTTCCTATGTATTTTACCGCGATCGCAGGAACACGGACCATTTAGCGAAGTCGCCGAAGCTCGAAATTAAAAAGAAAAGGCTGCACATCAGATCGGCCGAGCCGAGCGACAACGGCGTCTACAGTTGCGTCGCGACGAACGAGGCGGGAACGCGCCGGAGCGTCGCCAATTTCGCGTTGGCGGTGCCGGGGAATCACACGCCGCTCATCCAAATCGTACCCGGCGACGTCGTCGCCAAGCGAGGCGGTACCGCCTTCATAGATTGCTCCTATCAGAACGCCGACGTCATCGAATGGTACTTCAAAGACGAACGATTGGGAAACGACAACAGGTAGGTTAAGCTACAGTTATTGTGTATGCGGATTCTGGCGAGCAATCGTTCCAATTTATGTCGTTGACAGTGTAAATAATTTTCGGAAGATTCGTCGGAACTCATCAGAATTCGCATGCATAGTAATCGTATTGGTGCATAAATGAAGCTGGCGGTTTACAATTGGTTTTTATTCAGCTTCACCATTCATTCGAACGGGACTCTTCAGATAAACGAAGCGGGCGAGCAACACGAAGGTGTTTACAGTTGTACCGGAATCAGGAGCGATTCCGCCGAGGTACCTCAAACTTACACGGCGGAATTGAAAATAGCCTGTAAGTTTTTCCGCAATTTTCTTGGCACGATTGAATTATTTTGCACCGAATTGTTCAGATTTTGTAAGACGAATTCGGTTAGTTTCTTTGCGTCTGGACAATTTCGGAAGTTTTTTTTTGAACCTGGATAAGTTCAGAACGATTTGGTAAACGTTCCTTGCATCTGGACAAGTTTAGAACCATTTGGTAATTTCTTGGCATAATCTGGACAAGTTTAGAACGATTTGGTAAACTTTCATTGCATCTGGGGCAAGCTTAGAGATACTTTCTTTGCATCTGGACAAGTTTATAACAATTTGGCAATTTCTTTGCATAATCTGGACAAGTTTAGAACGATTTGGTAATCTCTTTGCATCACCTGAAATAGTTTAGAACAATCACGTCCTTTCTTTACATCCTCATCTATTTTCTGTAGTCATCGAACCGCTGGTTTCTGTCTCGTTCGAGCCGCCTCTGCCGGAGAATTCGAAGAAAATCGTGGGCGAAGGGGCCGATTTCCAATTGACCTGCTTGCAGCCCGACAGTTTACCGCCGGCGAGGAAATGGTGGGAAAATCCGCGCGGTCATACGGTAAGCTAATACTAGTTTCTTTTTTCGTACTCGTTTTAATCGAAACAATTCCAGATTTCCGACATGGGAGACATACGAGTCGACGACGGGCGATTGATCATCGATAAAGCGAAACTCCAAGACGCCGGTCGTTACAAATGCGTCGCGGAAAATCTAGCCGATAAAACCGAAAAAACCGTCGAAGTCGTTGTAACCAGTAAGTTTATAAAATACTACTAAAAAGATTATTTTTTACCGAATCGGTGCAATTGACAATTGTCATTTACGCACCGAAACGTCAGATTTTTGCATAGGGAATAACGCGCGCGGGCGGTCGCCGACTGCACTCGTTCAGTACAAGTTTATAAATTTCAGCCAAACCGAAAATCACGGTGCATCCGGAGAGCGTGACGGTGGACGAAAGCGACCGATCGTCGTTGACCTGCGACTTCGAATCCTCGTCCAGGGAACACACGGCGGTGAAATGGAAGAAAGACGGGAAAACGTTGAAGCACGACTACGACGAACCATCGTCCGGATCGCATTCGAGGATAAAAATCTTCAAGCACAACGGCACGCTGATCATCGGCAACACCCAATCGACCGATCGAGGAGAGTACGTTTGCGAGGTGATCACGGCCGGTCAGAGGCCGGTCTACTCCAAACCGGCTACGATATCAGTTATAGGTAACCACTCGGTGCTTATAACGAGTTTAGGAACTTGTAAGTGCGTTGGTTTTAGAGCAATTGAGGTTCGTCCCGGCGCCTGTAAACAAGAAAATGGAGCTGGGCAGTATGGCGAAGGTGCACTGCAAAGCCCAAGGTACTCCACCGCCGATAATACGTTGGGAAAAAGATGGTAAATCGTTGGATAACTCCTCCAACGGTCGCATAACCGACATCAACGGCACGTTGCACTTCAACGGCGTACAAACCGATGACAAAGGCCGCTACAACTGCCTGGCCAGCAACAGCCAAGGCCTCATCAACGCCTCCATCACCATCGACGTCGTCGGTAAGCCTCGCAAAACCATTCAAACCGCCTTCTTTTTAACTCCCGTCATCTATTCAAGTCGCCCCGAAGTTCAGCGTGTTGCCGAAGAACCCCACCGAAGCCGTCGAAGGCGATTCGGTGACGATCGATTGCGTGGTCGAAGGCGATCCCAAGCCCACCATCCAATGGGACAAGAACCTCAACATGAACGACTTCGACTTGGAGCGCTTCAAAGTGCTCGACAACGGCACGTTGTACATCAGCCGCGTGCGGAAAGAGGACGAGAACAAGTACGGTTGCACGGCCGGCAGCAGCGCCGGCCTCAACCGGAAGGAAGTACAGCTCATCGTGCACTGTAAGTACGAGAGATTATCGTTGTGAATGTAGTGGTGATGTATGTTTTTTTGGGCAGCTGTAAACGGAATGCACGCCGGGGATTCTACTGTCACCAAAGCTGTGTTGATAACAATGTCTGTAGCAGGAGCTTATATCGTATTGGTCATCGGTTTGATGGTGTGGTGCAGGTGCAGGAGGAAATCCAGGAAGATTCCTCTCGACGATGGTAATTCATCCAACATTATTATCAATAGAAATGATCTTCTAATGTACGTTTGTAGTGGGTAAAACCGAAAACGGAGACTTGGACCACACCGAATTGAAAGAACCGATCAACGGTACGAGTTCGGTGAATTCGAAAACGAAACTGAACGGGCTGGACAACCACAAAGAAGGCCAGCGCAGCGACGGCGCCGAAACCACCAACTCGCAATCGTCCAGCCAATCGAAGAAGTCCAAATCGAGCCTCTACGACAAGCTGGCGCTGTCGAGGACCCACCTGAAGGAGTCCAAATTGATCGGGCGCGGCGAATTCGGCGACATCATGGTGTCCAGGTTGCCCAAGAGCGCGCTGGCCAACAACAAGCGCCTCTCCAAGCACTCCCAATCCATCGAAGAAGACGACAAGGACGTGCACGTGCTGGTCAAAGCGCTGACCAACACCAAAGACGAGGCCTGCCTTCAGGAATTCAAGCGCGAGATCGACTTGTTCAATAAACTGTCGCACGAGAACATCACCAAATTGTTCGGTTTGTGCAGAGAAACCGAGCCACACTACATGATCCTCGAACACACCGATTGGGTAACTAACTCGACGGCCTTTTACCGCTACGGTATTTAATTCTTCTTCTTTTTTTCGACGCGCAGGGCGACCTGAAGAAGTTCCTGGTGGCGACGCAGAGCGGCACCCCGCCGCCCCTGACGGCGGCGCAAAGCGTCGCGGTGCTGCACCAGATCGCCCGAGGCATGGAATACTTGTCGAACAACAGACAAGTGCACAAGGACCTGGCGGCCCGGAACTGTTTGATCTCGTCCCTTTTGGTCGCCAAAGTGGGCCTGCCCCGGCTCACTCGAGACCCCTACAGTCAAGAGTATTGCAAACACGTCAACAACGTAAGGAAAAACTCGAGACGAAGCGTCGCCGATTCGGCGACGTTGCCGGATCGCTTCGGAATTCGGAGATTTGGGTAAATTTATGTTGTGTTTTAGATAATACCGTTGAGATGGTTGCCGTACGAGGCGGTCTACGAGGACGAGTACTCGACGAAGAGCGACGCCTACGCCTTCGGGGTGTTGATGTGGGAGATTTTCGCCAAGGGCGAGTTGCCCCAATCGAAGATCAACGACAACACGTTCTTGACCAAGTTGCAGGATAATAAGATCGAATGGAAACCGCACGCTAATACTGTAGAGGGATTGATCGATTTACAAGTAAGTATAACTTGATACACTGTTAGGTTCAGATTGGTATAGAAGTGAATGTGTTTTTTAGGAGTCCTGTTGGAATAGAGATCTGCAGAAGAGGCCGTCTTTCAACGAAATTTCCTCGAGAATTTGCGAAATACTCAAAACTATGTAAATATAAGGAGCCCGTATTGGATTGTTGGTGCACGAAACGAATAGATTGTAATCACTACTTCCCGCTTTCCATTGTAATCGAGAGAAATGTTGGTATTTTTTCTTTTTAAAGTTAGGTATTTATTTTAGTTGTAGGAGCGTGCGACATGTTTAAATTCAACGAAACAGACACATATTCAAAAATTGCATTGAGACTGATTTTCTTTTAATAGTAGTATTGAACATTTTTAATAACGAGAGAGAATAGAGACGTTGATTTTGTATTTTTTTTAATTTAATAATACGATTTTATCGCATTACTCACGAGTCGAAGACTTGATACATCTTATATTTGTACATATCATTTATCGGTTAAATATTTAATTGTAAAGCATATCATATACAGAATGTTCTAATGTTTATACACATGTATCATGAAAAATAAATTATTAGTAGTAGTAATTATTTTGATATTGAAGAAAAAAACAAACGCGAATTTCTATCTAATATTAGATCATTTTGTGTAGTTAGTTTTTAAGTTTTTCTTTTTTAATTCTGTACATTACAAGTCCGAAAACCGCAAAGCACTGCCAAACTAACTCAATTTTTTATAATGTATAACATGTACCGATTTTTAATGTATTTTAAGCTAAAGCTGAAGACTGTAACCAATTTACGCTGCAATTTCTTGTGGTACTAGAGTCGAAAAAAAAAACCTCTAAATTCGATGTACGAGGGTAGGGTGAAAGGTTCTCGGTCTGATACACTGAAGGCGCTCCAATCAACTAATTCTAGAACTGTCTAGAACTAGACGCTTCAGAAATATTTAGAATTATCAAGAACCATTTAGAACGCTATCCAGAATCATTAAAAATCGTCCAGAACCATTTAGAACGCTTCATACATTTGTCAGGCCGAAAACTTATCACCTTACCCTTGTATATCCAGGAAAAATTCGTCTGGAAACTTGCCGTACTATTTCTACCGCTACATACTCGTCATAATAACGCTTTATAATGTCGCTTTAAGTGAATCAATTTTCGACTCTAGCTTAGGTCGTTGGGCTTACGAAATTTATAAAAAAATATATAGCCTGTAATCATAAATTTGGTTGTATATAAGAGACCAAAAATTCTATTGCGATTCGATGGTGCCTCTCTTCGATATATTTATCGAGCTTTCGCCTAAAAGCAATTCGTTTTCGACGTTTTTCCAAAACGATTCGGTGAAATTTGATAAGAAAAATAGGAGACTTTTATAGCGGTGTTATTCGTTGATTTTGTTGATAATATATTTAAAACGATATTATGTACCATAAACCTTTTTTTTACTGTATATTATAATCGATTTAGTTTATACCTTACTAGTTTAAGGCGCATTTTTACTACGCAGTTTTTATACTATAAAAGAAAAACGAAATTCTGTCCATATATTTTAGCGATGTAGCGTTTTTTGTAATGATTTTATACATTTTATACTGTATTATCGACTTTTTATGTAATCCTCCTTTGTGATACATATTAAAAATAAATTATATAACGTGGAAAACTTTATAAATTGCTCCTAACAAACCATTTAAATTCTTTAACTAGCAGTTTATGTATGTTCTGTGAGCAGTATTTAACATTTTTCGATTAATGGAGAGTGTATTGTGGATAAAGCTGTTTCAAATTAACACTACTAGATGGCACCACATGCGTGGTTTTTGAGAAAGAAAACTATCCTACATGAAGTTGTTGCAAATTAAAAACAATAGATGGCGCCACATGTAAGATTTTGATAATGGATGTAAAAATCATGAAAGGGGTGGGTAAAAAATCGTAATAGATGTGTGGAAATCTTAATTAGTTGATAACAATAACACCTAAATCTACAAGGAAATATCTATAAAATTATTTTCAATACTAGATCACATTGAAGAAATTTCGATTGTTCTGTTGTGGTACAACCCCGCTTCTGTTATGGTACAAGACACATTCCTACACCTATATCAACGTTTTAAAGAATAAAGAATGCATCGAAACCGCCTAATTTCGAAACTATTGAACCGGATCGGGTATTTTTCAAAATTCTCGTCCCCGTTCACAATCGCACGCCCGTTCACAATTGACCCGATAATGGCGTTTTTGTATACAAACACGCATCTCGAGGCCTGTCCGTCGAACAATCGCCCTCCGAATGTTTGAGGTCTTTATTCCGTCGAACACCCGCTACACACAAGGCCGGGCTGTGACAGTTCCGACGTCACATTATGTGCCTGTCATTTCGTTTGTGAATAACATTCGTATAAAAAAAACCTGGTAATTGTACGTGTCACGTATGAATGAGAAATGGTAACAATGCGCGCCTAAATTCGTCAAAAATTTCATTATAGATACTTTAAAATTCGATTGAAAGAGTGCGTGGTGGAATAATTGGGCTAATTTTTTTACGAAGCGCGTCCTAAATATTCCACCACGGTTTTTAAAAATAGTGTTGCCTACATAATTTAGGGGTGAAATAATCACGCTTTTGTAATCATATATAAGTAGGTATTTCTACCTTTCACCTTCATGCGAAATATGAAATATAAGAAGGTCCATTATCTAATTTAAGAAGGTACCGTTGCGAGCACAAAGCGAATAATGCGAACGAGAAAAAAAAACGCCATTGAAAGCAACAGATACGGTTATCGATAGGGCGAAAACGGGTCGGTTTCGTCGCCTTTTGAGCCACTTGATCTCTCCTGCTCGTCAGAGATCGAAAAGCTTCGATACCTCTAAAGCTCCGGTTTCGTTTTTCGATTTTTCGAAAAAGGTATTATTAGGGCGTTTTACCTATTACAGGTATATCGTGCGTGCAACTCGAACGCCAATTTCTCCACTTGTAAATGCAACTGGGCAAAAAATCGATGCAATCTGGAGCTATACAAAGAAGTGGCCAAAATCGAGGGTATCCTCTTTAAAGTCGGAAATATCTCGAAAACTAAGCGATTTACGACAATTTTCGATACTTGTGAAAATATAGAAAACGTTTTTCTCCATCGAACAAAACAAACCAGACTTTTCTAGCGTAAGTATTTTCCGAATTACAATTTGAAATGTCGTTTATTAGACTAGCGAAACCATTCAATTAGATGATATATTAGAGTACAATCAAATTTTACCCTTTCACATTATACGCTTAATTCCTATAATACCATATAACAATTACGAATCGAAAAGAATTAAAAAAAAAACTCAACAAAGAGAAAGCGAAACGGAACAATTAATATTTATAAGTAATTTTTTCCGTTCGTTAGAAAACAAACAAAAAACCCCCTACCTACACGTATACAAATAATACATTATTAAAAACCCATCCCCCCACAAATATAGTTATAAAATTAAGCGAACGTATATATGTATCGAAAAGGAAGGAGCAGAAGCAGAAGAAACAAGACGCAAACATTCGTTTTAATATTTCATACCGCTGACAGGGGGCAAAAAAAAAACAAATCCACCGAACGAAAAAAAAAAAAACGAACAACACAAAATCGTTGGATAGCGAAACGAAACCCCGCCCTCCACGGGCGTACCCTTGGGCGTATCCCTGTAAACCACCAATAGCGGATGGCCCTATGGGCGTGTCGGGCCAATGGGAGCGCCGCCCCGTCGCCATCTTGAATCCCCCGGGCCGGGGCGAGGCGGGCGCGTGGGGGGGGCGGCCCCAGCGCCCCGGCCGGCTGGCCGGCGAACCCGGCGCAGCTCCAGCGGACACGTTCACAGCCGAAGGCACGCGTCGCGCCGCCTCGGAGAGTAGAGAATCGATTCTCGTGGAAAAATCGATCGGGAAATTCGGGAAAAGTGCCGGCCCGCGACGAGTCGCTCCAAACGGGCCCGACGAGTTTTCTGAGCGATTTAAAATCGCGTATTTTTTTTTCGGTTTTCGGTTTTGGCTGTCCAGCCCGCGGAGTATTGTCGAGTGCGCTATAACGTGGTTTTTTTCTTTGTAAGAAACTTTGTTTGTTGTATAATAAGGGATTTTCGCGTGGACTTGTTTTGGAAAATTGTGCAAAGTGTCGCGGCAGGAGGAGTACCTTTTCGGGACTAGTTCTCAGAAACCTGGTTAGTATACCTATTACTATTACTATACTATAATGTTACTCATTATTCGGTGAATCGGTATACTATTTTCATTTAATAAAACTAAAAAATTATATACAAAATACGTTATTTTATGTGAATGATCATGCAGGATTGGACGTTTAGTTTTTCGAAAATTTCATCTTCAATATCGAATTTGCGAAAAACAGTTTCTTTTTAATAATAGGTATATTTATTAATCCTTTCAAACGTTGCACGCAGATAGAAGAAGTCTTATTATATTAATTACACAACCCAACTATATATAGAAGTTAAAAAGTTGCATAAAAGTTTGGCATTAAAGTATACTCGTTCAAACAGTAAAATTGATTTTTCTATTAGAATACTCTTGGTTTTTTTCTTTAAAGTTCTTTGTATTATGAGATTTAACGATTTTTTGTTCCTTTTTTTCATTTAATTCTTTTTTAAAACTCTTCTGAATTTAGAAAATTCACCATACTGGACCGTTTTCTCATGAAAATAACACTTTTGTAAATATAACCTAATGGAAAATTATTTTTTATAGTTAGATACCTAAGTATCTCGAAAATTAAGCAATTTTCGAAATTAATCAACCTAAATACTCCAAAAATTGCGGAATATCATCATGTTTTTTATCAAATTCAAATCAAAATATCGAGCTCGCGCAGCGAGCGAGACGCTTTTCTATATATCCGCCGCTTAACTTTTATATCGATCGTTTATTAACGATTTTCTAATTACTATCACATTTGACGTAATTAAGTAATTATTTAACGTATAAAAAATAATTGAGTTAAACTTGACCGATTGCTTGATGATAAAAAAAAGGTGGACGATTTCAAATAAATTATCGAGAAATTAATGAAAATAAAAAAATAAGAAGGTTTATTATGAATAAAAATTATATGCGAATTTCATGAAATATTTTAATTAATGTTATAGACTGGGGCAAATCGGTTGTAAAATTTGAATAGTTCAAATTAATTCCTAAAATGTGAAAAATTAAATTACAGAAAAAAAAATTACAGAACTACAAAATAGTAAAGAAAAAAATAAGAAACAAACCCTGTCTAATGTACAAAAAAACTATAAAAATAATAAAAAACATTAACATAATAGGTAAAAATATTACATTTACCCATTTTTTACATTTGCCCCAGTCTATAACCTTAATGAATGTTTCGATTAATGAATTTTCCACCCACACTGAAAAAAAATTCTGTAATTTTCCTTAATTTATTATGTATGTTTTACTAAAAAAATTATGTAAATAACTATAATACATAGCCTATCATGTAAGACTGTAAAATTACAGAACTAGACAGGTAATACTGAAATTACATTGTAAAATTACACCGGAATTCGAGACTTTACATAAAAATGTAATGCATTACATTATATATTCTGTAATTTAACCGTATAAATTGTGTATCCAGAATATATTAAGAGAATTTTTTACAGTATATATACCGTATTTAAAAATTACATAATATTACGTAGGTAACAAAATTGCCAACGTAATATTCTGTAACATTTTTTGTAGTGCAAACCACGCAAGTAAATCCATTCAAAAACTAAACCAAAAACTAAATAAAAAAAAATCGAAATTATATATAAATTAGCAATTTCACCTACCCAAAACTTTCAAGTTATCCCCGCGAATGGAACAAATCAATGAATCAGAAACAAAAATGTTACATACCGATCAAAATATTGGTGTCCCCATAAGCATTAAGTGACTCGACGAAAACGGGGACGACAAAAAGGGCATTAAAAAAGTTTATCAGAACGGATTCCTGAATTCGTAATTCGAATGGAAAAGAGAGGAAATCCTCATCACTGACTTGTCACGATCGAAAAGGCATCGGAGGACGCGCTATCGAACTTATCAATCGCGGATGAAAAAGACGCTTCACTCGCTCGACCTGCCCAACTTACCGTTTTTTTTTTTTATTTTATTTTTTTCTCCTCGATGTTATCGGTCAACAAATCCATTTATATTGAGATTCGAATTTCTGTTATGTCATCTCGAAGAGTATATCTATACAGTGCTCTTAAAAACACATCTTTTTTACCTAATACACAATAGTTTGTAGTTAAATAATTATTTCTAAATAAAGTCGCTTTATTGGTTCACCCTGTATATAAGCCAAATTGTATATACCCCCTTCGATATCATGCAGGCGATTGTAAATGACATTAGTAAAAGAACTGTGTATAGAATTATTACTATACCTCGTATATCTATCGACAATCGTATAATTATTATAGTGCTATATACTTTTTAATTATTTTTTGGTTTTACTGCATTTTGGGTCCCTTATTCAATATATATTTTTTTCATTAAGGTAGACTGGGGCAAATCGGTTGTAAAATTTGATATGCTGTTTA